TCGCATACTGTAATTGATGAGCTCCTATAAAGAATCAATTTCTAAAGACTTGATCCAGGTTTCAGACTCCATCTTCACTCACAATCCTCAGTTCATTCAGTTAACAATGTATTCAAAGAGTAACGGAATTCAGTTTCACTCTTATCAGAGCTCACGTATAAGACATCTACCTTTCCGTCCTATCCAAATCCGGACCTTTCGCATAAGATACGCGTAACTGTTGTGTTAACCGGTTCATAACACGGTTGACCAGAATTATCAATTCGGGTTGTCCGGATGTCCTCTTTAAAGGCAATCAGTCCATTTCGGTCTGACGGAAACGAATGGAGTTGGTTATCTCTAAGAGTGAGTCTGTCAGCCTAATAAAAAACATTGGACTGTGCGCGTGCACCTACGTGGAGTCATAAAGTCCGGTGGTGCCAAAAGGTGTGGGTCTTTGACCGTAAACCGGGCCACCGGTTGATGAATCATAGCGGGTAAATTGGCGGGCAAATTTAACTGCGGCAAAAGCGTGCCCAGATGTGCAGCTGGATCGCAAACATCCTCGTCTCCAGCTTGTGTATCTCCAGATTCGACCGGTACAGCGGACCAGCACGGGCAGACGGCGGCGTCGGGATCCTGGGATGCGGCAAGCGTAGACATATGAATAGTAAATGTCATTTATATATTATTGTTATATATAATTAAATATATTACAATAATTCGTATCTCAAGTCAAAGTTTTATTATGGGTATTACTTACAAGCAGATGCTTTTCTTGTCCCATATGATGTTTACACAAATTGAACTGCAACAATAATGAACAAAACTCCATATGATGTACTCGGTTGTGTTATGCGTGCTCATGAATGCTGGAATGCAATGTGTGTTACTGATTCGTCAAGTTTTACCTTGAAAGAATCAATCGTCTTGGCACAAACAACATGAGATGGTAAGGAATTCCAGGCAGTGCACACTCTGACGGCGAAGCAATGCCGTAGACAGTCCAGTCGAGACTTTTGGAGTAGTAAATTGAATGGATGTCCCCGTAGATGAATGTTTGATGACAACGTCAACAGTCGGCGACAAGGGTGGTTTGGGTTGCATAATATTTGGTACACTAAAATTGAGTCTCCTCGAATCTGACGATAGTGAGCGGAGTATAGACCCAATGACTGTAGTCAGCCTATGTATGAATCATAGAGTCCTCTGACCATCTTCGTGGCAGGCCTTTGTGGACGCTCCAAAATCTTATGATCACGTCGTAACCATGGATTCCAAGTTTGGATGGCGTACTCATTATGCGGCCGGATGTATGCTGACAGCAGACGTGAGAATAAAGATGGTTCAAAACGACCGAAAACATGTTTAGGTAAACTGACATGTTTGAGTGCTGTTGATGACTAGATATTTCCCTGGGAATCGCACAACTGGTTTCGTGGTTATGGGCTAACATTCTAACAAATGACTCAATCGCCGAAAGGTTAGGCAAATTGAAACACCTTTTATTTTCGCCGACCTCAAATATTCGTGCTACAACAAACTTTTCTTTGCGTTTCACACCCAAGATATCCACAGCGTACCGTTGAACATGATTTCTAAATTCCTCCAGAATTGTGTTTTGAGTACAAGGCTTATTATTCCTTTGTCATCCTTCGTCTTCAGACTGTTATCTGAGGATTTTATTTTGATTAGGTGTTCTCCAAAAATGAGTTCTAGGCAGGAGTTGTTTCTTCTGCAGATGGATCGATTTCATTGGCAATCGACAAGTTTCAGCTTACGATGGTCGTTCTGTCTCCGGCTTCACATCCCTTGCGTCCGACACTGTTGCTGCATTTCGACCTCCGTTACTCGTAACAATTACCAACCGTTGTATACTTGGACATTCGAAATTCCCTTCATACCCAATCTTTCTCATTTATCGGTTTGTAGGGGATGATTGTCCGACGGATTCAAACGAAATCTCACTGACTATCACACAGCTACTTCCTCCCCGCTGTATATAATAACCATGAATCCATTATCTCCGTCGATAGACAGCGAAGTGGTGATAACAATTTTACGTCTGAAAATTTGTCTGCAATGGAAAAATAGAGTTCATTCTTGATTTGACCTGACTAGATTATCCCTGTCAAACATGGGGAACCTCAAAAGCACTTAGAACATTTCAGCCTTGGACTGAAAAACGATCACAAAAATGTATGCAGTGCACCTAGACGGAAACCAGTATGAGTCGGAATGAACAGCACACAGAAAAGCAGGATGACCCTCCATCATAACTGCCAGCCAAGATGATTATATTGGATAGCAGACGACATTGGGCTTTAGTGGTTTACTGAGAACAGTAGCTTTCTTGCACGCCTGCACTTGTCGATATGCGGAACTCCGGCGAAATCATAGTACATAAAACACATTCGATGAGGGTCGTGAATACAAATTTTACAAGAACGCCACTGTGCTCGGAAGTTTGAAAACACTGAAAGAACGATAAGAGAAACGGTGCAGTGGGATTAGGCAACTTAGAGCCGCAGTTCAAGTTTGCTGTAGAAGATCAATTGAGAGGGTCACTCTAAAAGAGGTCAATTTTATCACCGAAAACTGACTCACTTCTGGAGTACCTTCCGGTCCGTCGGTTTCCATCGCGATAGGTGCAGTCGCCGATTCCTGATCTTCCGGTTCAGAACGAATACTTAAGCGACGCCCAAAGTCCACACTATCTTGAAAAACTGGTCCCCAGTAGGGTAAATTTAAACAGGCTTCCGGAACAGAGGTCATGTCTGAGCGGGAAAAATGGCAAATACAGGAATACTGTGTAATGAAAAACAAATAGGTAAGAGAATGACGAACGAATTCGGTTTTGTCATAAATTAATAAATTGTTGGCAAAATACAGGACTTGTCCAATGGATTATTTGTGGTTGTTGTCTGGAGAACGAGAATTGTAACTTAGATATTGAGCATATTAATTAATTGGACCTTACGACCTATCAAAATGTCCGAAAACATTGGCACTTAAAAAAATTGCTTTCGAAAGGAAAAAAGTCGGTCCTAGGGCCTTTGTCTGCCTTTATCTGAGATTACTCGGGTTAGGAAAATTACCACAAATCGTCATGGTACCGAAAGATGCTACCATAAACTGTAAAAGCTCCGAGAGACTAGTCAGTGAATCAGAAGACATCGAGGGACAAGCGGTTAAGGTCACCAACTTATCACCCCGGAGGACATGTGTTCGAACTCCACAACCACCGCCTGACGTTTCTTTTCCGTGTCCATAGACAGCACCTTAATGGTTGCAGCAGTCACCCCCCCCCACTAGCTGAAATTTGCTACACATCTGTACAATCAATAAAAAGTAAGTAAAAAGACTATTATAATTATGAACAAAGAAAACAGAATTGCTATTTCGCACGATGTATTTATGGAAACATTTCATTGCATCTAAACTGATGCTTACTGCAAAAAATCTATTTACAAACCACGGTACACTGAGTCATAAGCAAGGTGAAGGGGGAAACAGTTTGACACATTACCAGGATAGAATCAAGGAAACATAAAGTTCTCTCTGTTGGCACATTGGGACGGTTCCACCAATTGATCGTTTTCCATTATCTTTATTATTAGGCTGCATGCTAGAGTAACTGGGATATTTTACAGGTCACGGTGACCTAACGCGCTAAATCGGATGAAATTCTCAGACACAAAAAGCTACTATGTTTCCCAGAGGAGATGTGCGGCACCAATGGCGGGAGGAGCACTCAAGCAAAAGGAACCTTAGGAATCGCGTTTGTTGTGGGGTTTCCGGTAGTGCCAACAACTTTGACTTAAGATCGGTCACGTTTTTACTAAACAATTTCTTTGCATCGGTCCCGTAGTCGCTGGACCATCACTTACGAATTCACAAAGTTGGTCGTATGTGGCGGCACTGACCGCATTCCGGTAGGCCGGGTTCCAAGGTACGCAGTGAGTAGCAGCTCCACGCATATATGTGAAACAGTTCCGTCAGACTAAACAGGCTAGAAAAGATGGTATAAATCCAAATGCAGCACTACTTCATTCCTATCCCACTCGGTTGCGTAGAGGGTAAATGTC